AGTTTTCAAAGTTCGTTTGCAATGCAAGTAGCATGGTCTTACTGTCAAGCTGGGGAAACAAATCAACTCGAACAATTTAAAATAGAAGTCTGCTGGTGGAATGTTCAACGAATGTTATATTATGTAAGTTAGTATTTAAAGCTTTTTTATCGACCCACGGATGCTTCGTCATCTTTCCAGCGCCATCTGCAGGCCAGCTCCGAATCCCAATAGCATATTGGACCTTGAGGATGTGGGAGCCGGATTGGAAACGGGGTTGTTTCGGCCTGATGCTGCATAAAGTCGCCCAGCATCCTGGTAATGCCTGGTGATGGCTCCTCCAGCTGTCCCTTAGCGGGCGACCTTATTTCCTCCTCCCTATAAAGCCGGAGCGTCCTTCATGGAGGCCTCATTGAAGAGCTCGTACGAGATCGATCGAAGTCCCACTCGGCATGTGGCGAGTGGCGAAAGCAGCACACTCGGACAACGATTGCGAATTCGATCTATGTATGTATAGCGCGGACAGCAAAGTACTCGAGCCTACATACGTATGTATATAAGGCGGTCCAAAAAATGAAATTTTGTTTTCACCTCTTCACATGGTTGATTAAAGTGTGCAAAACATGTATTAAAAAATTCAAATTTCATGGTTGAGTTGTAGACCAAGTGAAACGTCCTCAAAGCTTCTTTAAAACCTCTGCCCTAGCAGCAAAAAAGCGCGCCGAAGCTGAGAAAAAAAAGACCCGAAGTCCTATGCCACAGTCACACGAACATCTACGTTATACGTGAGCGAGCAGCGGATGGGCAGAACAATTCCCTATGCTCACTTAACAGGGCGCTGCCGATCGCTGAACTAGACACTTCGACTTTCCATCCAAGTCAGGGCCAACTATATGATAGTAATATATTTGATCAACATCAACAGGGCGTATGAGTTATAAACTTTATAACCAATTCGAAGACTCTTTACCGCGTTTTTTTTTATTTTGAATGGTATACCTTACTCCTCAATCCGCAGCGTATAGGCAGATGAGAGTAGGACCTTTAAAATGTCCATACAAATGTGGACCGCCATAATGTACATAGAGGTGCGATCCGACAATTGTAAATTTAATCACTTGCCCCACGTTGGGCGCCAAAATAAGTGATCAAAGCTCTCTTTGGCAGTGTGAATTCTTCAATTAATTAATTTGTTTCACAAGATTTGCTGCGGGCTTGTATCAATCTAAAACTTTAAGTGAGTATGTGAGTGCTTTAATGGAAAATCGTATAAATTTGTATATTGGCAATACCTGATTACAGCTGATGGGATAACATATGTAAACATAACAGAAATTATAGCGCGGAATTTTCAAATACTGGTTTCATGACGTGTTTACAAAATCTTTGGGTCAAGTCCCCAAAAAATAGTTTAAATCATTATATTCTCTGCAAGGGTAAAAAATCTTTAGTTTTGCTTGTCAGTTTTACAGGAAAAATTTACTCTTTTTTTATATATTAGCTTATATAAGTTTTCAGATATATATTTTCGACCATTTTTTATCCCCGTAACTCGTAAAGTAAAAGGGTATACAAGAGTATGTAACAGGTAGAAGAAGTATATATGTTCGTTTGCCGCTCACAGTTTTGGAGGTATACAAAAAAATGTTGACATGTGACATGTGTTAGACTCGTCAATACCTATAGAATGACCTAAAAAGTTATCCACGCCCACTCTAACGCCCACAACACTCCCAAGAAGATAAGCAGTGACGTCAGAGCCAGACAATAACAAATGTTTTTATGCATATCTGTGTGTAATTATGTAGTTGCAGGCCGAACTGCGCGGTAAAGTGAAAATCGCTGCCGCCACTAAGAGAAAGCAGCTGCGCATTCTGCTCTCTTTTTATTATAATTTTAACAGTTTGTCCCCTTTGTCTCCCCCTCTATCTCTCCAATAAATGCAATAACAATTTCAATTACCTAATTCTTATTATGTTAATATAAACTTTAAATGGTTTGGCGCGGAAGGGGGCTTCTTGCTCTTTGCATTACCCCTCTCTCCATTGTGATATGTTGTGCATTCACATAATCATAAAAGAAAGAAACGGAAGATCGCTTGAAAAGGACTAAAAGGCAGTAAAAGGAGCGAAAACTTGTGCACGTAACAGCGCTGTAAACGAAACCCGTGTGCCTAATGCGATTTTTTCTATTTCTATAGCCTTTCTATTGTCCAGAAGTGACTAACAAGTGACTTCTACGCGATATATGTATGTATGTTTTGTTACTATTTATAGAAGTTACTAAGAATTGATAGGACAAGCATAATTTTTGTCGTTCAGAAGTACGCCTACTCTAATTTCGTTAGCATTTAAGATTGAAGAGTCACTTCTTTCTTTAACGGATGCATGTACTGTACATCTTCGAACGTCCCAATTTGGGGCATTTAAGATTATTGAGCAGCTGATGATGTAAAACAATTTTTATTCAATTAAACAATCTGTAAACGTTTGTAGTCCCGGAATGGCCAACCAAGAATTGCACTTCAACTTTTGGAGCCAATTTTTTCTTAAGCGTTTAATTCAGAAGAAGATATAACACAGGGTTTTCTCCCATCACAAACCTAAAAGGGAGTTTTACCTGGTATGGATGACGATTCGGTTAGGTTCTATAAATAAGTTGCGGCCTTAATGTCTTTAGCCCAAAAACGCTCGTCCAGGCAGAATGCAAAAGCATGCTGCATGCCTATCCATTTCCTTTACTTCATTTTGCAAAGGAGAATAAGGGACTGTTAACTTTCGTTTAATACCATTTTTAAAAAGAAGGTTTCAAACGCGTCACTTAGGTATTCTCGTCTGATATCGCTTCTTAGCCCGATCCACCGCTTATCAGATTGGTTATCCGCAAATGATTTGAATTTTTTAAATTTCCCTTATAATTACCCGTCCAAATTTGATGTAGTCTTTTATGCGATAGTTAGGCGATGTTTTTGCTGTGCAACTCTGAGTTCTTCTTCTTGACAGTGAGAATTGAAACATTCATTACGAAAACGTATACAATAATGACTGGGAACAATCGAAAACGGAAGGCGCAGAAGCAACAGGTTTGGTTAGATTAGCCAGATCAGCGGTTATCTGATGGTAGATGGTGGATGTGCTCTCTTGGCGCAGAGGCAACAGGTTTGGTTTGATTAGCCACAGGTCTTCAGATCAGCTGTTATCGGATGGTAGATGGTGGATGTGCCCTGTGGGAATCGGAGTTTCACATTTATCAAAAATCCCAACCGTTCGAACGGATGGACACTATGCGAAGGGTGTATAAAAAGATTTTTGGGTAGGGTTCGATAGGTTTGAATTCCTAAATATTGCAAAAGTTGCTTACTTTTGAAAATTGATCAATCCGTGAGCAACATGATAACTTAAAAACAGGAGCAAAATGCCAAACAAACAAGCTTAAATTTCCTCCTAAGTCCGTGTATATAGATCAACACAGTTCAATAGAACCAGTTGGACTTTTGTCGAAAATATGTAAATGTCATCTTGGATGACGAAATTATAGACTCGGCCATCCAACTAATATAGCTTCTGCTCTGTGAATCAATAATTAAAAATAATTTCAATACTCTAAGATAACAAAACATTCAATTTGTTAATGATTAACTTTTGTCCGTTTTATGTGTCCTTTCTTAAAAGTAATTGTCCTTTTTTACCCACTTGCAGCACACCCTGAATACGATTTTGCTTGTTAAAACTACCTTTATTTTTCCAGCGATTTTCTTTTACTTTATACTGCGCTGCCTTACATATGTCCACGACGACCATACAACCAGCTTGCCAATTCTTCTTTTGCCAATTTTCCGATTCGTTATTGTTCCTTTGTCGTCCTTCGAATCAACAGCCTTTTTCAGAGCACTATCGCAAACTTCTTTGACAAGTTAACCATACACAACAGACCACAAGTCAGAGTGAATAAAGACTCTTCTCATTTGAACTACCCACGAACTGAAAATATCTCGTCGAGCTTGACGATTAAATGAAATGAAGATCCCATTTTCGTGGTTGTTCGAGTCACTAAATACAGAAAGTACAGATTATTATACCCATGCAGAGGAGACAGAAGTTAGCAGCGCAGGGAAGAGACGCTTCCGACCCCATAAAGTATATATATTTTTGATCAGCATCACTAGTCGAGTTGATCTAGCCATGTCTGTCGATCCGTTTCTACCCAAGTTAATCTCTTAGTTTGAAAGCTATGGTAATGAAACCTTTCCAAAAGTCGTATTTCTAATGCAGGTAGTATATAAGTCGGATCGGACAACTATATCCTATAGATCCATAAGAATAAATGAATGATTGTAAAAATATTCTCTAAAAATGAAAAAAATATAACTTTGGTTTTTTTTGACATATTAACTTATACTCTTGGGAATATTATTCTTTTATTATTTTAGAATTTCGATAAAAGCTTAAAACAAATCAGACGACGTTATCTTACAGCTGCCATAGAAAAGATGAGATAATTAATGCTAAAATAATGCATAGACCGATATATTTCGTTTTCGGTAAATGTATATACGGTAGTAAAATAAAATGGAACATTATCTTAAAATTTCTGTAATTAGTTTTTAGTTTTCCCGTATGAATGCTGTGATCTCAAAACTATAAGAGCTAGAGGGTTGAGATTTTATTATTAGATTCTTTACCTTCTGATTCAACGTAATTTATATCCGAACGTCTGGATATTTTTGACGAAATATATTAAAACATGTTTCAGAAATCGCTTGGTTACCAATATATTAGCCGATAGTACGGAGTAGTACGGAATAGTACGGAAGTGGATGTTGTTCAAAAGACACTAAATAATATACTAAAGATCAAGTATGTTGAACTAGTTTTCAGAGTTTTGCAGAGTTATCCGATTTTTTATACTAAGGACCGAAGTCACATTTTAAATGATAAAACATACCAATTTGTCAATTGGTTACGGAATATTATCAACATTTGTAATTGATATAACTCTTAATCATATTAATATATATTCATATTAGTTTTATATGACCAATTTGAGATCTTAAGATTGAGCAGACAATATCACTCTTCTTTTTAAATAAATGCACGAAGTAATTAATATTGGTGAGACAAGATGGCACTCAATATATTTATATCCTTCCTCGACTTTCGATTCTTATATTTGTCACTTTATTTACTTACATGATTTCTATACACACGGAATAAACACGGCGTCGACATATGATAATGATTTTTTCACATAACCCTTATGATGCATGATTTTAACAACTTCATAATTATACTAACGGCAGAAAAAACTATTGTTGGCTAATAATCCATTTCTAGCCAAATATGAAAAAAAAAACGCTGTCAACGGTAAAAACAACAACAGGATGTTGCGACGGAAAACCATTAGTAACCCGTACGAACATATCCAAAAGCATCAATATGCAGGCCCTAGCGACAATTGTGCTCCCTCCAGAGAAAACCAAGGCTTCCATTCAGATGCCAATCAAATTCACAGTTCTGGCCCCAAATTTGAATCGGGTGATTCACAAACAGCATCACCAGAGCAAATGAAAATTATCAGCCATGCAGCTCAAACTACCAGCAGAAAGATCGGGAATCGTGCCGACCGACAAGTGTTAATTGTGCCCGAGATTTCTTCAAACGTCATAATAGGTTCTTCCGATGATGGGGAATATGATTGCCTAGTGGCTCGACGGCCTATACGCCTACCGTTGCGTAAGCATCACACCTTTCACTTCCAAAACACACAGACAGCTAATGGCAAGTTATGTGAGCTGCGGGAGCTACTGCAACTGCAGATGCAAGAAAGGGCTAAATTCGAACAAGAAGAGGTTCCTTTAGTAATTGGTCCGGTGGAGTTAAGTGAACAACACGCCTTTAAGCCGATTTCACCAACACCTACATTGACAGCTTCGGCAGAGCAGAAGACACGATATCAGAATCAAAATGACTTTCCTTTCTCTCAAATGAAGATGATGAAGATCTTGGATACAGTTTCTGTGAAGAAGAATGCATGGTAGACAGCGATAACTATCCCACCTCGGACAATCGTAGTACTGCCCCTGCTTCAAACTCCATTACATCGAAAGCTATTTAAAACGAGACTGCATGTGCTCTGGATACTTTATATAGCAAAGCAGTTGTGAAGTTCATATTTAGATATAAAATTAAAAATTAAAACAAGCCTAAGTGACGCAGACAAGGTATTTTATATTGAACATAGTTAGCATTTAATTAAACAATAAATATGTAAAAACTGTTTACTAAAAACCAAAACCAAATTGTAATATTGTCAGTGGAACAATATAAAAAAATGTTTAATGTTTTTTAAAATGTGTATACCCGTTACTCTTACAGCAAAAGTCTAAGTTGTATGTTGATGTTGTAAATTGTATGTAACAGGTAGAAGGGCGCATTTACGACCCTATTAAGTGTGGAATTATGGTGGTATGTTGATGCTCACTATTCTAGTTGATTTTCTTCATTCTGTCTGTCTGTCTGTAAACGTGCTCAGTGCCCCTCGATTTCCTATGCCCACAAATCGAAAAAATCTGTACCACCCAATGTTTTAATGTTTAATTTTTTGGTTCTGATTTAAATTAATTTCAACATTGCTACAAATTTCAACAAAATTCTGCTTTCATTTTTATTGAAATGCATTTATTTTGTCAGTACCCATAGATTTGGTTAACAGAGTAACGGGTGTTAGATTTAATATAGTCGAGACACTCGACTATAGCTTTTCTCCTTGCTTAGAATTCAATTGGTAAATATGACTGAAGTTTTGTAGCCTATTTAGACATAAATACATTGATACTTTATATGAAAAAAGTAGAATATTTACAATGTTATCCCACAACTTAGCTGAGCAGTTTTTCTTTGTTTTTAACTCTTCTTATTCCCTTTGATATTCCCCCCATTTTTTTATAAACAGTAATGTACGAATCAATATAACAAGCCAATGTTAAACATATAATGTCCGAAAAATATACGATTTATACAAAAGACAAGGGTGTTACTTTCTCGGTAAGGCTTACATTACAAATAAACAATGTAAAGTTTTTCTGATTAAACGTTAAGTGAACAAGTCAAAACAAGGAAGAACGATATAGTCGTGGGTCTCGACTCTTAGATACCCGTTACTTAGCTAATAGGAGCAAAAGGGAAATGGAGATGTACAGCAGCGAAACAAGATTGTACAGCGCCACCTATACGCGATTTCAACACATGGTCATGTGGGCGGTAAACATTTTAGGTTTATGACAATCAATATGTATTGACGAGATCTATATATTTCAGCTAAAAGAATTTCTATCACTAACTTTGTACGTGACACATTAGGTAATAAAACTTGCGCTGCGTACAAAGCAAAGGAATCGAAATCTTAAGTCCCAACTCTCTAGCTTTGATTGTTTCCGGGATATGAGTTTTCATGTGGACTATTTTTTGAAGTTTGTGGGCGTTAGTGAGCGCGGCAACAGTTTTTCAGGTCAATTGATAGGTATTTTTTAGACCAAAATATTTTGTAGTTAATTTTTTCTTGCTTTTAAATTGTAGAATCCACAGATTTAGGCGGTTTGTGGGTGTGGCATGTTCGCGTACAAACTTGCGCTGCGTACCATACTAAGGAACCTAAATCTGCAATCTCAACTCTCTATATTTTTCCGAGATCATAGCGTTCGTACGGACAGACGGTCACTCGGACAGGCGGACTTGGCTAGATCGACAGAAATAAAGCTAGTTGATCTATTAAACTGGCCAAGTTCTTTACGAATTGCCAAGCTTTATCGTCTTCTGGAATTAAATCACCTACCATTAGTGGAAATATATAACAAAAGCTAATAGCTCCCTTGCGGAAGCTTTTATGTTAAATTTTTTTAATTTAATTTGAAATGCTGGCCAAATATTTAGTATTTCTAAATAGTCCTACAAAAATTAGTTTAAGTTTCGATTAATGTTTCCAAATCAAAAGTGTAATTGATAACGAAATATAAAAAACGTGACACATCTCATATCTAAAAATCCCTTCGAAGACATCATTTAATATGTCCTCTGCTAAATTTGTAGTTAAAGTGCATTAAGTTGTTAAAAACGCTGTCGGTGTTAGTTCCGGTCAAATTAACCAACAAGTGGCAAATTATTAAAAGCTTTGAGTTTTTTAAGTTCTAAAGGGTGGAGAAACGTAAACTAGCAGTGGACAACGATAAAGTTTTTGGTTTTAAAATTCTAAAAATTATTTATCTTCGGTGTTTTTTGACATATTAACTTTTACTTCTTCTAATATTTTAACATTATTCAGTAATAGTCTAGAAGAGGGGCATGTGTGCCAAAAATCGTGAAAAAATTACCCTCGATGGCGGAAATGCATGGTTCTCTTGAATTGCTTTTTTAAGTTGCGTGTTTTGCTATATCAACCAAGTAGCAATTTCTGGGATTTTGGGGTGTTTTGTGTAGTTTTGCTTTCCATTCGTTGTCAAATTAATAAAAAAAATTCGAAAAACAAAATTTGACAAAAATCTGTAATTGTTTTTATAGCAGGCCAGACCCCACAACCGCGAATAAAATATTCTCGATGGGCCGTGATTCCCAAAGAACTCGAGCGACCATGGATGACCAACATAAACATTTTTAAAAATAAATCTGAAGAAATCGCGGTCCAATGAGGATCAACTATTTTATGCTTTTTTGGGGTCTTAGTCGCATCAAAGCCAATTACGAAAGTTGTTATCAACTGGTTCAGTACCTTCTTATACTTGTAATTAATTTGTAATAGTGAATAAAATTCTGGTAATACTCTAGATTAGGGAAAAAAATTCGCGAAAAATTACCCTCGATGAACTGCGATTTCTTAAGAATTTACGTGCAAATTGAACTTGGCGGTCGGACATGGTTCTCTTGTAATTGAAATTCAAAGTTCCCGGATTTGCTATAAAAAACCAGGGTGCTTTTCTCAAATATTCAATCGATGTAATTATGCTTTAATAAGTAGTTATACAATTAATTAAATTTTCAAATGAGTTCCTATAGAAATCATGTAACATTTTTTTCATTAAATAAAAAATGTTATTTTTTGTCTAGTGAAAAAGCATTACCAAATAATAATGTTTTACGTGGAGTGCGGTCTATGAAGGACACATGATTTATGTCACAATGTTGTATCGGCCATGAGCGATCCACGGTCCCCCACCATTTTAAATGCATTAAATAACACTCCAACAATTTGTATCTTTATATTTATTCAAATAATTTCAATGAACACTTTTCCGAACCATCATTGAGGTAATGTTCCTGGCTTGTTTTTTTTATAGTGGTGTCCCCCTCTAGTCCACATTGCAGAGTGTTTAATTAACAACTTAGTCGACATCGGAGGTATTCTATATGAAAAATTGTAGGATGTACATATGTTAAATATGAAATCATATACGATGTTTTGATTTTATATTTAACATACATCATATGACTTGCTCTTCGGCCTGAAAATATCCGCCACGGCTGTAAAGAAGAAATGGAGGCACAGGGTGTGCGGGTAGTGCTTCCTTAAAAAGGCGAAGCGCGCCAAATATCCACTCTTTCGGCCATAGTGCTGAAAGTTTTCTTAAAGGTCCCGCCACAGACGCTCAATTTTTTTGCTGTTTGCCTTCGTGACTGGGTCAAAAAAATTGATGTAGTGGTTGACTTTCAGATGTTGATAGCCTGAGCCGTCCAAACAGTCAAACGCTCTCCAGCAATCGGGGACGACAAAAGTCGTCCGTCTCGCGGTCGATGCCACTGAACACCCACTGACCCTTGATTATTCGGCCGCAATTATTCTAACTGCGACCAATCTTTGTCTCATCAACTTTCATAGTCGCACCAACGCCTTCGATTGCGTTCTTAACCCTTTTCTCCGACCAATCTATATAGATTTCCCTGAGAAAGTTGCCCAATCAGCCATCCTTCAAAAATGAGTATGTGAAGCCCTTCAAGTTCCACGCAATGAACTTGCATGCCTCACTGCAGGGCACATGAGAATTTTCAAAAAATTTGTTTTTGAAGGCACTTTCCTAAGAAATTACTTTTTTAATAATATAATATTTGAATATATATGAATGAAAATCTTGCCTTAAATGGACACTGCCTCTTTATTTTCTTCTTTTTGTTCGAACTTTCAACCTTCGCCGGCAGACCCACTTTATCTTTCCATCATCCTTCATTATTTTGCATAGGGTACAGCATGTTGGACAGACCCGCTGGTCCAAAACAATCCCGTGGTCTTGAAGGAAGCGGAAATCAGCTTTACCATCCATGCAGAGAAAATCTCCAAACGTTAGAAAGCAGCATTGGCACGTCATGTTGAACAGAATTAATCAATAAACAACAATTTTTGATACAAATTTCAATATTACATAAAATTTAAAGACAACTCGATTTTATTGCAAGCATGAGAAAAGCACATTTGTTTTTTATAGCACAACCAGGAACTTTGAAATTCAATTACAAGAGAACCATGTACGTCCACCGAGGATAATTTTTTCACGAATTTCGGGGGTGAGTCCCCTAATCTAGAGTATTACTGAAATTCTTTATGAACTTATGGTTAATGATTTGACAGAAAATATTTATTATAAAAAATGCTGGTTATAATGCCAAAAAATATCAAAATTGGCTTCTTAAAGGTATTTTCTTTTCTTTCTCACTAAACCCATCACTCGGACAGTACAAAGGTACATTGTTTTATTGTTTGTGGTTTCTCTAATAAAAGCATACTCCACATTGCAAACCAATTTCAGTGCTACAGATTAAGTCTATTCCTTTTCGTTGTCCGTATCGGTGGATTCCTAAAATTCAAGATAGTAAATTGTAAGTATTTAAAAAAGAAGAGATGTGATTAAATTGCATATGATTAATGCATGATTAAAATGCATTTGAGTCATTTCTCTTCTTTTTGTAAATACTAACATTGCGTTCAGGATTATACAATTGCCAATTGCTGAGAAAAATGAGTAATTCGCGCTAGGTATCCTCTGTTTTCCGGCCATAGTGAGGAACATTCTCCTTCAGATCACGCCATAGTCTCTCGATCAGGTCCACGAAGTGAACTGAATGATTAACGGTCATGTGGGAGTAATTTGAATCCTTCAAACCATGGTATGGCTTCCAGCAATCGGATATAATTGTGGTTCTATTGTCGACGTTGGCCTCAATAATCGGAAGAAGCGTTCCCTGGCTACGATCCTCCACAGCCACCAAAAAAAGTCCTCGGTTTCTCTAAAAATTGCTTCGAAAACCCATTGGCCATTTACAACACGCCCGCAATTATATTTGCGCAGGCCAATTTTTGTTTCGTCAATTCGACGGTTAAACTGACTTCACCTATTATCTGCTTTGCGTTCTTCTCCGTCCAGCTAACATAAATTTTCCGAAGAAAACTACTCCAGTCGACTACCGTCCGTTGGGACCAGCCTAGTTCTCGTCGAAGGAATGATATTGTTGGGATCAACAATCTCCAACGCTACAATGTTTTAGGCCTAAAGAATATCCGTTTAAGGGCAGATTCTTTACAAATAGAATTTAAAGTACAAGTTCCATAAAATTAAAAAATGATTACCTTACAGGAGCATTGCTCTCTTCTTAATTTGCGTTTTCGGTGATCATTACTTATCATCCTGCGGCACCTCCAAAATGGTGTACTATTCGGGCCCTTCGTATTGAAACACAATATTGCGGGCTTACTGCAGTTGGGACAGTCCTTGTTCTTCAGAACAACTCCGTGTCGCTGCAGAAAAGCAAACGTCTTCTTCGCCCATGGCAAGGAGTAACAAAAACATACTAGGTTTTTATAGCACAGCCCTTAAAATCCTAGAAATTCTACTTGGTTTTTATTCTTGGACGTTGATGCACTATGGTCAGTACAAACAAGTGGCCCTTACGACACCAAGCAATGCATGTTACGCGCGGAGCCCTAAACCGATTTGGGCAAGTAAACGAAATCGCGGACATGGAAAAAGACGACATAACAATAGAAAGT